AAAAATGATTTAACTTTGTTGCAAAATGAAATGATATAAATTAGAGGCAAAATCACAATAATATAATAAGCTCAAGTTAAATAGGATAAAGTCTATATTCTTAATTAAAACATTTTTTTTGTACATTTGATAATAATAAATTATAAAAAAATAGCTCTTTTTTCTTTAAATTTTTTTTTCACCCAACTTAAAATTTAACCTTAAAATCTCAATTTTTTAATTATTAAATTATCTCATTTTGATCTTAATTAAAATTAATACTAACAAGTTAACGGCTTAAATAGTATAATAGTCATTTTTTTTGTTAAAAATAAAAAATTTTGACTTTAAATTACATGACATATGAATGAAATATAATAAAAAAATAAAAAAATAATTGATTTTTATTGTAGCACAAAGATAAATAATAATAATAATAATAATAATAATAATAATAATAATAATAATAATAATAGTTTCGCATCCTTATATGCGCTTTTTTATAGCTAAAATAATGTTTGGTAAGGCCTTTTTTTTCTTTTCTTTTTTAACAGTTCGTTAAGTATAGTTTTGTCTTTTGTCTCTCTATGCGGCTAAAAAAAAGTAAAAAGTCAAAAGCGGTGTCGGTACGTTATTTGACATTTAACGGTCTCCCGTCTCCCTACAGATCCGGCGGCCCTTCGTCGTTGCCGTTCTTCTCTCGCTACGTAGCAGCTACGTCTCCTTACCATACGCACCGGCCGGTATCGGCTGTCCAAGATGACAAACGAGGAATTGCTGAAGCAGCTCGAGGACTTGACGAAGGACGCCATGCGTCACCAAGTCCACACTCTCCTCTCCATCCTCCAACACCAATGCGGTGTCAGATACCTCCGCCAACACTTCTCCGGCAAAGACGCGCCGATCGATGTAACTGCTTTCAAACGCGCGGTTCCATTATCTTCCTACGATGATTACGCCGATTATATCAATCAATTAGCAGACGGCACCGCCGATAATGATCAGCCCCTCCTATCTGTTGATCCTCTAGTTTGCTTCTTTAGCAGGTAAAATCATGTTAGAGAGAGACTGTTTTCTCAGGAAGCAGATTTCAGTTTTCGATCTTAATAATTTATTTCTTTGGCAGCACTGGTACAAGTTCGATGAAGCCTAAATTAATTCCTTACTTTGACTCGGCGCTCTCAAAAGCTGCGTCTTTTTTGGGTCACCAGGGAAGTGGTGCACTTCTTAAAAGGTGAATTTGTTGTTGATTTCTTTTACTTTTTGATATATGGGATTGGATTCTTTTGTACATAGTGTTTTAATTAAGGTTTTTTCGTTTTTTTTTTTTTTTTTTTTTTTTTGATTGTAAGTAATGAGGAGAAATGGGGCTGCTTTTCATTACCTCTAGCGATATTTCTTCACAAATCTTTCAATTTAGAGAGTTTAGATATACAGAGAGAAATTGGTACTTGTAATGTATTAATGCCATATTTTCAATGTGATAGGTGAAAGAAATTGACGCTTGTTTTGTTGCCAATTGTTTAGGTTGTTTCCTCCAAGGCCAGCGATAAGTAAGATAATGTGGTTTTTATATGGTGATAACATTACAATTACTAAAGGTGGTATGAAAGTAATGGCCGCTTCTACATACCCATTGCAGAGTGGTAATAGTAAGGCGAGTCAGTCTATGCTGCTTTCTTGCACCAGTCCTAGAGAAGTGATTCTTGGATCAAACTTTGAGCAGCAAATATACTGCCACCTTCTTTGTGGGCTTAGGAATTTTGATTTGGTTGATGGAATTCGAGCCCCATATGCAATAGGCTTGATTAAAGCTTTTGACCTTCTGGAATCGAAATGGGAGCAGCTATGTGATGATGTAGAAAAAGGGTTCCCTAGTTTGGAGATTAATGATGTTTCCATGAGGGATTCTGTTGTTCAGGTTCTTGGTGGCCCTCAACCAGATTTATCCAAAAGAATTCGGAGTTTTTGTGAAGAGAAGAACTGGGGTGGGATTGTAAGTAAATTATGGCCTAATACACGATACATCAGATGTGTTACAACTGGAAGTATGAAGCATTATTATTCAAGACTTGCGCATTATGCAGGAGAGGTGCCTATCTTAGGTGGAGATTATTTTGCATCAGAATGCTGTGTGGGTATTAATTTGGATATTCAGCAGCCACCAGAATCAACCCAATTTGTTATGCTACCAACTGCAGCATATTTTGAGTTTCTACCATTTGACTCAAAGGAGAACAAGACCATTGCTGAAGAAATTGTGGATTTTGATGGTGTGGAAATAGGAAAGATGTATGAAGTAGTTGTGACTACCTATAGAGGATTGTATAGATGCCGTCTGGGGGATATTGTGAAAGTTGTTGGGTTCTACAATTCATCGCCAGAGGTGGAGTTTGTGATGAGAGCTCCAAAAACTTCATCTGAGATTGTGACTGAGAAAGATTTAACGTCTGCTGTTGAAAAATTTCAACTTGAGCTTAGAAATATGGGCATTGTGATAGAGATCATGGAATTTTCATGTTCCATTCACATAGATGTAAACAAAAGGCTGAAGATTTTTCTTGAAATTGAAGATGGTTGTACGCTTCTGCAGGAGGATCAGTTGCAGAATTCAATTCCAGTCCTTAAAAGGTGTTCTTCCTTTCTTGAGGATACCATGGGAGGTATATATAAGGTGCAGAAAGATAGAGGTGAGTTATGCCCATTAGCTATATCCATTTTGAAACCTGGCAGCTTTGACCATTTAAGACAAATGGTTATTAGTAAAGGGGCTCCAGCCAGTCAATATAAGGCGCCTAGGATTTTAAGGAATCATGAATTTGTTGATCTTTTGGAGGCATCTGCTCTTGTCACTATAAATTAAGAATCTTTTTCTCCATGGATTGGGGTCCCATAATCTGGCATTGTTGGACCAATGTATGCTGCTCATTTGACCAACTTGTGCTTCTCTCTTGCCTCTTATGACATGAGGTCTTACTTTGTTATCAAACAGAAACAGAATGCATGTGTCATGTCTCTGCTTTATGGGGGAATAGACTCGTTTCAGTTTTCAGTTCCCTTCCACCTTCGTTCCCCATTTTTTTTTTTTTTCTGATCTTTTACACAGTCTTCAATGATAACCAGAAGGGCATCTATACAAGTGTAGATGCCAGTGAATCAGATATAATCTCTAAGCACACTTGTAATGTTAGCTGAACACACTGTAAGAGTGGTTCTCCTTCCTTTTTTCTTAATTTCCTCTTTCAAGGTATACTGGATGCATTAATTTAGTTGTAATGTTAAGGACAAGTGTCATGACTACCTTGTAGCTTCTTTGATATTATGTCTACGTTGTCCTGCTATTTGCTAGATCCACCTATACCATGTTCTTTATGTTAAATACAATAACTTCTTAGTGCATGTTCTTAATTCTCTTCTCCTCACGTAAATCTTAGCAAACAAGCAAGTGAAATTTCTCTATTCTCTTTAGAGATAATTTTACTCAGAGAAAGTTGATACTTCTCTCTTGTTTTTGATCCCTTCTTCTCCTAAGAGATGATGTCTTTAATCTTTATACATTCCTTCTGCCTTGATAAAACCCCATTTCCATTACAAAAGGTGCAAAAAATGGAATGAAATATTCCTAAAACACACGCCATATATCAAACTTCTGCCAGCCAGATTCTCTTCTCTAAAAGAATTTCCCATCTCTCAAGATTTCTGATTTGCAAATTTTTTAACTTTGATTCCAGGAAGAAATGATTTATTTCATTTCTGTTGTCTCTA